TTGATATCTCCGTACTGTGCGGCCATTAACGACAACTACGATACGGGACCCAAGAAGTCATGGAAGTGCCGGTTGTGTGACTCGAGTGAACACATCCGCCAAATAGCCATCCCTTATGTCCTCCAATATCTGGTCGCAGAGTTGGCCGCCGTTAACATTAAAGTAAAGTTTGAAGTGAAGAGTTGAGTCCAGAGTTTGTGTTAAATTTATTTTTTAAATTAATAATTGAGCGATAATTACGATAATTATTATAAATTAATTTAACTTTTTTGTTATCAATTTCTATATACCGTAAATGCTATGGAATCTAATGATTATATAGAAATGTATTGATTTTTAATTGTATGACTATTGTAACTACAAATGTTGATTAAAAATAATTATTTTGTACATGTATTGGATCAGCTCTGAAAGTGCTACCATCAGTGGTACTGTTAAGAGAGGATCCAAAGGGGACTCCTATATACTGCACCATTGATTGCCATTCATAATATATTGTATGTAAAAATAAAATAACAATAGATTAGCCATTCCTCTGCGGTAATCACGTGATAATGTGGTGGCAATCAGTGGTGAACTGAATGCGATAATTAATAAATGAAATGAAGAGACATCTGAAGAGACATCTGAAGAGACGTCTTCATAGACAGAGAGTGCGGTCTATGGCTGTAGTCATGTGTTGTGTTGAAGGCAATGGTGAGTCAAATGTGTGCGCTTTGAGGCAATACTGCGCTCCCATTGGTTGTGACATTCATTACGCCATTCATTATATGCATAAAATGGCCGACAGTTTGTCACAACAAACCTCTGCACACCTCTTGTACGCCTGATTGTGTGCTTCGGTTATAGCGTTAGGCAAGGGCTCAGGTATTGCAGTATAAACTTCTCGTTGGACTACCAGTGCTCTCTCACTCGTATCTCTCACTCGCTTCACTCACACACTCACAGCACACAACACACACGCTCTCTGAAGCCTGGGTTGTGATGGTCTGATCCGACGCGCCAGCGATCGTCAGATACTTTTTTCGCGAGATGTGGTGACGTATAGGACATGCGTTCAAATCATTTCATATATCAAACCACAGACACAGCGCTCACAAGCATTCACTTCAATGAGACTTTTCTTGACAATCAAATACTCAGTTATCTCATTAGACCATAAATCGTATGAATTTATAAATTTTTTTTAATTAAAAGTATATATATTTCGAAGAGTTATCATTCAGTCATTGTTTGTAAAAACCACAAGAATTGTATGTTTTTTTTGTGGATAACTATAGACCACTAAGTTTTGCACTCAAACTTTTGGTACCAAATTCTGTTCAAATATTTGACACAAGAATTGCCGGCAATTCTGCTAATTGTTAAATAAACTATTAGTATAGTTTTGAAAGTGAATTGCAGTGCATTACACATGATTGCAATGAAAACCTATTTATATTAATACACGATTACCTATCATTTCACAATCAATAACATAATATTCTCGTAGAATAAACAGAATATTTCTGGTCTCAAGTATTTGTTAAACAAAATAGAAATTGTTTTTATAATATATAAATTGTATAAAACTTACGTAAAGTTATTGAGAGACATTATCTCCAATGTCTCCGTAAGAACTTGAGCTCCAATTATCTCAAACTTTTAGACAAATAAATGTTAATCACTAATCCATTGGCAATGAATCGCATAATAAATTTATCTAGTTTATTAATAAGTTATTGATTTCCATGTATTAAAATATTGATCACAACTTAATACTAGTGTCACAGAATTGCAAAATTGAATATACAATTTCTAACACAAACTAAACTTATATTTTGAGCCAAAATTCAACTCAATGAACGAAACAAATCTGAGAGAAAACTCATAATAATTGAAAACCTGAATTTGAATCAATAATCACTGCATCAAGTGTTATAAAAACCAATAAGATATTTCACTAATTATTTAATATTTCAAAGACATGTTATGAAAATTCATATTTACGTCACAATTCTCTGTTAAAACTATGAGGAAATTTAAGCCATTATTTCACAATTCTTTGAAAAACTTTGTTTAAAAATACTACCAATAGATTCCTGTTCTCTATACTAATAATCGTAATGAAATTCGTGAAGAAAATAGTGATGAAAATCATAGCGAAATTCAATGATAAGTTGGTTTTTGAAGTGACAAACAAACACTTAACGATAAGTAACTCGCAAAACATCTTATAATTCAAATTTTGCCTTTTATTCAATTGTTTTAACGATTATTTGGTAATCAAATTGAGGTTCACATGGATTTGCAAAATAAATTCATTGCAAACAAAACTTAAGACAAACGGTTGTAAATACCAGAGACCTGTCGCTTGAAACTTAAAAATAAATTATACATAACTTACAAAATATTTATACTGTATATAAAGTAATGGTAATTATAAGAAGTTTTAATAATTTTTAATACACTAAAAATTTTGTTTGTTTCAAAATTAATATAAATATTATTCGAGAGTTAAAACCAATTAAAAAATTCCTAATTATAATACAAATATGAGTTAATTATAATGTAACGAAAAATACTGAATAAAAATCACACTAAAAATTAAGATATAAATTAATTTTTACAAAACAAATATTTTGTTCATAAAAGTGTCTAAACTCTCGAATAATAAATAAATTCATTTCAAAAAAGTTTCAAAAATGAAAACAAAATTCTTGTTGCTTTAAAGCGCGAAAGACATTGAATTTAAAAACAATTTCTTATGTTATTTTAGACATCGATTATTTTCGTAACTATTTATTCATTTTATACAACAATTTTAATGATCAAATGCAATGAAAGCTAATGGTATTTCCAAATATGAATGAGTGTTTCAAACAATTAATTAATTAATGAGTAGTTATTTTCATTTCAATTAGTTCTCTGTTAACCTTAAGCCCTGAAATAATTTAATGCTTTTTACAGTTAATATCGTAATTAGGATTTCTTTTGAGGTGAGCTCCGGGAGGCCCTCCCAGACGTCTGCGGTTTCTCCGGCTTCTCATTCTTCTCGGGTTTCTCTATCCTCTCGGTCTTCTCACACGTATTCCACGGCAACGAAAAATATCTATTCATTGAGACATTTGTTCAATAAATGATTGCAACAAATAATTTAATTTCCAATTCAATTAGGACTCACTTTGTGGGCAGTTTAGGAATGGGATGTCCGAACGCAATGATAGGTAACTTATCCGTCACTTCTAGGGAGTGGACTGCAAACACAATATGATTTGAAATACAATTTAATACTCGGTTTACTTTTGTGTTCAACAAAACACTTACGACTTGTGATCTCCGGGTAGAAAGACGTGAATTCTGAGCTCTGTTTCTTGAGATCCGTAGGCTTTTCATTGACACAATTGCCTAAACTTTGGCTATAATAACGACCGGTGCGTAGTCTCTCATTGTGGCGCTGCTCTCGCAGTCTCTGTATATCCCATCTGTGGTCCAAAACAAATCAAATGTCAATTTCTCTCATTTAAACAAATCTTCTTTTCAGACCTTTTTCTGCGTCTCTCGTCGTTCTCTAACTTCTGATGCCTTCTGTTGAAGACCTCGTCGTCTAAATTCTGTCATCAATTCAATTACAAACAAATTACCGGTAAATTACATGGAGTTGATGCCATGATATGCATACCTCTGTGCCCTCGAGTGAGTAGCAGCTGCTGACAGGGTGTAGGCGCCAATTGGGAACTTCTATTACTTCACTATCACTTTCAGAAACAGTTCTACTAATGCTTTCATCAACTGAACAATTATCTAATTTAATGTCTAACGACTCGCTATTTACACACAACTCCTCAATGGTTGTGTTGTTGACGACAATATCGTAAGGCTTTGTTGTCGTCAATATGTCTTTGATCACGGGATAAGTCCTAACAATTGGCGCAACTATTGTGGGCTGAGTTGTGGCCGTCTCTACACGTGTGGATGAGGTCTCACTTTTGGGTTTCGCCACTCGTTTGCGGTTATTATTCACAGTGTTTAACGTTTTGTTGCTTTTAGTTGTACTAAAAGTGCTCAAAGAATCGCACGAACTCTCCTTAGTATTCATTAAATCCTTTTTATTCTCAGTTTTTATCTGTAAATCACAACTAATAGACGTTTTGTTGCGTTTCTTCGCCGACGAGGCGCTCGCCGTTACGGGCGTTGCCATCGTCGGCGCTGTTGTAGTCGTCGTCGTTGTGGTTGTGGTCGGCGTTTGTGTCACTTCTGGCGTCGCCTGTCTTTTTCGACTCTTGCGAACCGATGAAACACCAGTGCCTGCGGTGGTTGTGGTGGTAGTCGTCGTCGTCGTAGTCGCGGCACTGGTCTTATCAACCGTTTTATCGGTTCCGGCGCTCACTTGTGGCTCAGTTTTGATCTTAACGTTCACTACGTTATTAACAGTCGTTGTGGTGTTCTTTGATATCAATTGACTCTTATTTACATTATTAACACTCGTATTACTCGCTGTCGATGGCGTGGGTTTGGCGTACAGTTTGGTGAAGACTGTGGGGTCCGTGAAGAGGCCGACGACGCTATTGGCTTCGCTCTCAACGATGGTATCGCTTCCGCTTTGTTCGCAATCGGTTTCTGCGGTGTTTTGGTTACTATTAGTGGCAATGAGTTGACTGTTCGTCACTTGACTCGCGTTGCGATTGCTATTAACGGACAGACTATTCACACAAACAGTGTTCGCATTACTATTGACCGCATGGTTGGGCACTGCGTTGAGGGCACTGTTGGCCACTTTGGTCATCAGAACCGCGATCTTCTTCTCCATCTTCTCGAGCCTCAGACACAGCGCCTCTCTGTCCTGTTTGAGGCCCTGGAGCTGTCTGTCCTTTTTGAGCAGCTGTTCCTGTTGGTGCTGAATGAGGTCCAACTGACCCAAAATCATTTCAGTCAACCGCGAGATCTGGTTCTTCTCGGAGGAGAGGGCGCCGCCCGTCAGCGCACTGTTCGTCCGAATCAAGCCGTTGGCCAACAGGCCTGTCGTGTCGCCCATCATCTTGTTGTCCGTGGCGTACATGTGGTCAGACTCGACCGACGACTCGAAGGCCACGCCCACCTCCACGCCCGACGACTGGTGTATCGGTGTGTCCACTGAGGACACGGAGGTCTGGAGGGCACACATCCCTGTCGTCACCGACTGTTGAGAGATCTTTGTGCACGAGATGTGGTCGTGAAAGGCTGCCGCGAGATTCACCTGACGTACCATCACTTCCGGGTCTTCAGTGGCCGCCAATTGGGGCCTAAGAGCCGACATTTGTGGCGCACTATCACCCGATTTGGTCGCAAAGACTGCTTGTAAACAATGACTCCAATGACAGATAATAGGCGTCTGTTTGTGGCACCAGTTGCGCACCGGTTCTCATAGTGACACCATTGCGCTCATTAGGGTCGGCGGACACTCGTGCGGGTCGACTACTGGTGGATGTGATGGTGGGATCAGATGGCGTACAAGAGGTGTGCAGAGGTTTGTTGTGACAAACTGTCGGCCATTTTATGCATATAATGAATGGCGTAATGAATGTCACAACCAATGGGAGCGCAGTATTGCCTCAAAGCGCACACATTTGACGAAACCATTGCCTGAAGACACAACACATGATGAAAGCCATAGACCGCAGCCATAGACCGCACTCTCAGACGTCTCTTCATTTCATTTATTAATTATCGCATTCAGTTCACCACTGATTGCCACCACGTTATCACATGATTACCGCAGAGGAATGGCTAATCTATTGTTATTTTATTTTTACATACAATATATTATCAATGGCAATCAATGGTGCAGTATATAGAAGTCCCCTTTGGATCCTCTTAACAGTACCACTGATGGTAACACTTTAAGAGCTGATCCAATACATGTACAAAATAATTATTTTTAATCAACATTTGTTGTTATAATAGTCATACAATTAAAAATCAATACATTTTTATGTAATCATTAGATTCCATAGCATTTACGGTATATAGAAATTGGTAACAAAAAAGTTAAATTAATTTATAATAATTATCGTAATTATCACTCAATTATTAATTTAAAAAATAAATTTAACACAAACTCTGGACTCAACTCTTCACTTCAAACTTAACTTTAATGTTAACGGCGGCCAACTCTGCGACCAGAAATTGGAGGACATAAGGGATGGCTATTTGGCGGATGTGTTCACTCGAGTCACACAACCGGCACTTCCATGACTTCTTGGGTCCCGTATCGTAGTTGTCGTTAATGGCCGCACAGTACGGAGATATCAATGAACAACACTTCTGACAAATGAAGGCCTATCACAGAAAGAGAGCAACAAATTAAGAGACCCTCTAATGACCGCAATTGTGTCAATCATATCATACAATAGTTTTGTCCGAATTATTGAAGAGTCTGTCCTGAAGGAGGAAAGAGGTTCCGTGGGCTAAGAGTGAGTCCCTTTCCATTTCACCGAATCGTATACCACCGGCACGTTTGCGGCCTTTCACCGGTTGGTGCGTCAGCTGATCGATGGGACCGGTGGAGCGGACCTGATATTTGTCGCCAACCATATGTCTTAAGCGGATGTAGTAAATGACACCAATGAAGATGTCTGCCGTCAGTTCGCGTCCGTCCACACCGCTATACATGCGTTCCGTTCCATAGTAATTGAATCCAACGTTTTCCAAGAGTTTTCCGAAATAATCTGACGCCACGTTCTCTTCGCTGAAGACAAAGGGTGTCGCGTCGTGTACTGTGCCGTACATTGAGGCTGTCTTTCCGGCCATGGATTCAATCATTTGTCCGATTGTCATACGAGAGGGAAAGCCGTGCGGATTAAAGATAATGTCTGGAGTCATACCGCCCTCAGTGAACGGCATGTTCTCCTGAGGCCAGAGAACACTGCAGACCCCCTTCTGTCCGTGTCTGTTGGCAAACTTGTCACCAATGATGGGCGGCCTATGGATCCAGTAGGTGATGGCCACCGATTGGAGCACTGATCTGCCAGAATCATTGCCCAAGAGTTTCACGTCGTAAATGAACGCCGTTTCCATGGATTTATATTTCTTGACTTTCGTCTCGCCGGTGGAGGAGTCGATATAACTACAGATCGGGGACTCGTATTCGACTTTTGTGCCAATAAATGGCAATCCATCCAAATCGACAAATCCATCCAAACTTGTATTATCTTCTTTGCGGCCAAACTGATAGACAATTTCAGTGGACTTCCCTTTAACGCCTGCGAGTTCACGCAAATCAACGATTTCTGTCTTATAAATGGATCCGTGTTTGAAACCCCTTTCGACGGACGCCTTATTCAAAATCATGGCGTCTTCCATATCATAGCCCGTGTATGAGATGACGGCCACCACAGCATTGGTTCCGAGCGGATAGTTGTCGCCCTCGTAGTAGTCATGAGCCACAGGTCTGACTAAACACGATTGCGGCGACAGAATGGTATACAACTTGTTGTCTGACCTGTACTTAATGGTATGACTCGGAGTACCCATCGTTTGTTTCCCCATTTGACACGAATACATATTACGAGGACTTTGATTGAAATCGGGGAACGGTATCTGAGTGGCCAATACACTCAATATACTGGTCTCCTTGAGCTCCTGGTGAGTGGTCACACCGGGAATCAGTTCTGTAGCGGTGACACAGATGTCAAGGTAGACCTGTTCGAAGGTTCCGATCAGTTCCAGTGACTGTGTCTTCAGATTAAACACCGGACGCATCATTCGTGCGGGCGTTGAGAAGAGGAATATTCCCGGATATTGAGTCGCTTTGTCGGTCTTCGGGATGAAACCAATCTCCAGAGTGGGAGGGATTTTGTGTTGGTTTGTGGCCTTAAATGTGCGCAATTGGTTCACCACATCGGCGGCCAATATCTCCTTCAGGTAACCAATCATTTTGCCGTCGAGTGACACGTTTAGGTAACTGTCGTCTATAATGATGGGACAGTCGAGTGGTTGGACCCCAGCGTTGGACAAAATTTCCAAAACGCTACGAATAGTCGACTGATGGTTAGTTATAAGACACATCTCTGCCAAATGGTTGAGTAGACCACAAGGAGAGCCGTCGGGCGTGTGTACGGGACATAAGAAACCCCAGGCCTCGGGGTAGAGCTTACGACAGGCAGTGGTTTTCATTTCAGCAAAAAACTGTCCCCTATGGACGGCCCGGAAATGTGACAAAAAGCGCCACCAATTAATCTTATCGGCCATAACTGTAATGCCGGCCATTTGTTGTAATCCTAGACCAGACTTGGAGCGCAGGTTTCCGGTAGTTAACAGGTATTCGAGGGGTCGCGTAATCTCACTGTACTTAGCGGTCAACGCTTTCTTCAATATGGTTGAAGTTAAGACAGATCTGTTGCCACTCTTTTCAGCCGTCAAAAGTAATTTATCGATCACTTGTTTAACGGACACCAGATATAGGGAAAGCCGCTCCAGAAGAAGCGTGAAATAGATGTGACCGCTGAGGAAGATCTCGTGGAACATAGGATTGTCCGGATTCTCTGGAGCGCACTCGCCCTTCGCGAAGGCAAACAACTTTCTCGTCATAAATACTAATAAATTGAATTTGTCTTGAGTTGAGTTCAGGTGTATTGCAATGCATTCGCTGTCATTCATCACGAAAACAAAAAGTTTGCTTAAGAATTGAATCCAAATTATTAGAAATTTATGGTTCACTACCGGAACAGATAATCGGCGATCTCTTCGTCTGTAAACCACTCCGGACAGTGACATCGGGTGCGGAACCGTTCGCCGATATACTTCTTGATCTGTTTGCTGGTGTAGAGGTTCTCGTCGTGAACCAGTCTTAACATATTAGTGACACAACCCTTGAAGTACGTGTCATTCTGTTTGCCTTTCGTGAGCTCATTGAAGATGTACTG